CTATCAGCCACCAGGGAAGCTGATAACCAACCAGGTGTCCTGAAATTCAACTCAATCCTGACACCATCTCTCTGGAGAGAGAATCAGAATCAGATTCTCCCACATTGCAAGGTCTCCCACACTGCAAGCGGATTCTTCACCATCTGAGCCGCCATGGAAGCCCGTGCACTAGATTACTGGCTTATTAAAAAGAATGCACCTGGCTAACAGCCAGATGGCAGAGATACATAAGAAAAGATACAGGGAAAAATTATGGAGCCTCCATGCCCTTTCCCAGTACCCCACTTTCTCCAAATCCCCATGTTCACCAACCCAGCAGCTCTCTAAGTGCTGTCTTTTTGAGTTTTTATAGAGGCTCCAATACGTAGGTATTGATCATTTAAACCATTAGGCATTGTCCTTTGAACTCAATCTCCAGCCCCACTCTCCTTCCCAGACAGAGGTCAAGAGTGGGTTTGGGAGTGGGTCTGAAAGTTTCAGTCCTCTAGTATATGGCTGATTCTCCTGACAATCAGTTCCCATCCTTAGGTATTTTCCAAAAACACTTCATTAATATAATAAAGGACACCTTTATTGCTCTCATCACTTAAGAAATCTCCAATTATAGGCGTTTGGTGCCAGAAATGAGGTCAAAGACCAAATTTGTACTTTTTCTTGCAAATCACAATGTCACATATATCCAAGCTATGCCTGGATATGATTTATGATCTGTACTCAGTCTGATTCACATAACAGAAAATATTTCTATATATTCACATAATAAAAACAGGAAAAAAAATAGTGTATGTGAAAAGTACAAACAATACTTCTTAACTTTAGGTACGTATGAGGTGTGACTGTAAGTCATGAAAGTGAACACGGAAAAGCCAGGCACATGGATTTTGAGGTTTATCACCCTCTTGCACTCCATCTGCCATGCTCTGCTTCACAGCAGTTACAGTTTAAAAAAAAGAAAGAAAGAAAGCTGGTTCTTCAACTTCATTTGGTTCCTTACCTTCATTGAGGAACTCTTAAATTCCTGCTTTCTTCTTTTATGCACGGACTTGACTGAGACAATATAGAGAAAATAAAATGGTCGGGTGAGAGGGGCCACTTAACTCTCCCTTTAACCTAAGCTACTTTCTTAGTTTTGCTTTCTCTAACCCTTCTGTGGCTCATTGAATTTTTAAGGGAAGTCGTGCTCAGCTCAGCTTAAATAATAAAAACAGAGAGAAGCATTGACCTCAGGACAAAGGGAAAGAGGGGGAATAGCAAAAGGAGATAAAATAACACAGAAAGAAGACAAACAGCGGAAGGAACAAGCTCTTCCGGAAACCACGGAACCGAGGCATCCAGAAGTTGACTAAATGGAGAGCCCCAAACACTTGAAAGGTCTCATTGACAAGCTCACAGCTACACATCTAAAAATAGTAATAATAATAGAAGTGGTAGTAAATAACAGTAGCAGTTTAATAATAGTAATAGTAATAATACATATATGTCTTTAGGTATGTGTCCCTCTAATCCTTCTATCAAAGACACTGAAACTCAGTTTTGAAAAATCTGCAGCTTTGGGGAGGAAAGAGGGAGTTGGCTGATGCTGAAAGTGTCTGTTTCTGTTTGAGGTCTGGCACCTTTTAATAACTTCCTCCTGTTTCTATCATATTCCGCTTTCTTGGTGCTTCCCCAGTCTTGTATGTACCTCATGTCTCTGTAGGTTTTTGGTATTTGCAACCTTCTTTAAACAAAAGGTTGGGGCTTCCCCAATGGTACTAGTAGTAAAGAACCCACCTGCCAATGCAGGAGACATTGGAGTCTTGGGTTCGATCCCTGAGTAGGGAAGATCCCCAGGAGAATGGAATGGCGCACTCCAATATTCTTGCCTGGAGAATCCCAGAGACAGAGGACCTGGCTGGCTACAGACCATAGGGTCAAAAAGAGTCAGAAACAACTGAAGCAACTTAGCACTAAAGGAAAAAGGAGAGAGTGGCGGGGTACTGAGCCAAAGACACCATTAGTAATGCTTGCTTGGTGAAGGAGTGAAGGAAAATTGCCCCCAAAATGACAAAACAGAGTGACCCTTCATACCACCTAAGCACATAACAAAATCACTTAATATTCTCTTAAACACAGGTATAGCCAGCTTTATGTAAAACACAACTCTATACCAATACACAATTTTGAGGTGAAGGGGGAGTTCTACAAGTGCCAAGTCCTTTCTTTATCCTCATTATCCACGTGTGAAATGAAAGTCACTCAGTCCTGTCCAACTGTTTGTAACCCCATGGACTCTATGGTCCATGGGATTCTCCAGGACAGAATACTGGAGTGGGTAGCCTTTCCATTCTCCAGGGGATCTTCCCAACCAGGGATCAAACCCATGTCTCCTGCATTGCAGGCGGATTCTTTACCAGCTGAGTCACCAGGGAAACTCTATCCATGTATAATAATTCTCATTTCTGAGGCATGATTGAGTGTTCAGGTTACTTTCACTGCATTATACCATTCCCTTTACAGAAGCAATCGTCTACTGTGTGAGCTTATCACATCATTAACTTCATTTAGAGATGACGTACATCATGAAGTATATATATTTATATTTAAAGACAAGGCTTTCTGATTATGAATAATTTGGGCAAAATGTGTCATATCTCTGTTCATGTTTTCATTTATGAACACAAATATACTACCTCCTACCTGTATTGTTATAAGTTTTAAATGAAATATTCATAGTGAAAGAGCTATTTTGTAGAAACTTTCTTCCTGGTACTTAAAAATCTTTCTCAAAGAAAAAATAGGTAGACCAAGGTTCAGACTTCAGAACTTCTGATTCCAATACATATATTTGTTCTTTCCTACCAGTCTGTCTCGAGCAGATTAAAGGTCCTCTCGACTTAGCCAATGGTTAACTTTTCTCAGCCAGGTGGTCCCCAACCTTTAGGATCTGATGCCTGATAACTTGAGGTGGAGCTGATGTAACAATAAGTAGAAATAAAGTGCACAGTAAGTGTAATACACTTGAATCATTCCCAAATCATCCCCCACTTTCACCCTTGGTCTGTGGAAAAGTTATCTTCCATGAAACATGTCCCTGGTCCCGAGAAGTTTGGGGACTGCTGAACTATTACTGCAGGTTAAACATCTTAAGATACTTTGGTCTCTATGAGGACATTTATTCAGTCCATCTTCCTGAGGGTCTCACCATGTTCTTGGGGAGATAGACAAGTAAACAAATAATTGCTATTAACTACTGTGGAAATTCCAGCATCAAAGAGTTTCTGATCTTAAGAAGGGGCTCTTCCCGTTGTGGGTCATCTGGACTGTGGCAGGAAGCCCCTTATGTCCATCTTCTGGTGAACAAGCGTCTACTGTGTGAGCTTATCACATTATTTTCAAGCATCTACTGACAGTAATGAGAGAATCTGAAAGTCCCTCCAGCCTAGGACCTGTTTACCATTGTCTGACAAAAAAAAAAAAAAAAGCAAAGTCAAAGAGCAGGGTTTTTCCTAAGGTTAATTTCAGAATAAATATCTAATATGACTCTATAGGAAAATATTAACAAAGCCAAGTCCTATTCATCTCTGGTTCTGCAGAGAAGAGAGAAATAATCTCCATACACATCTCACATCATCAGTCTAAAAAAACCCAGAGACATCTCCTAAGGAGCCAAAATACTTGAATCAAATATCTTAGCTTTCAAAAATGGGCACTAGTTGATTATTCAACATAGAAAGTCAGTTTAGAAAGAATTTGCCTCTTCATCAAATAATTTTAACTTAAAAATTACAGATGAGTATTTGTTTACTGTTCTTTCAAACTAGAGTCAATTCATTTTCTGAAATGAGAATCTGCCAATGGAAGCTCTTTTTCTTAGAAAGAATAAACATAAGTTGTACCTGTGCCAGTGATGTTCGTTATTTTCACACTCAGATTTTTGTTTTGTTTTTGTCTGTGTGTTTCAAGTAGAGGGAAAACTTGAAGCATTTGCAAACCAGTCTCAATGGTGAGAGGAAACAAATAGCAGTCTACTAGTTACAAGTGTTCAGCCTTCTATGGGCACCAATTAATGTTTTTCCAAATAAATTGAGGACTATTGATTAATCAAGGAACAAGTTAAGTGGCCAACAGTTAAGAGCCTCTACTGTATGTTCTGTGACTGTTGAGAATCCAAGGACAGCCTTTAAAGAACATTTAGAATGTATATTTAATAATACTTAAATTGCCTTTATGAACATCAAAATCAGAGCTGAATTCTCTGATGACTCTTTAAGCACTGATATTTTGTAGTGTTGCTTGTGATGAGGTCCTCATGTTTAAGACAGCAAAGACTTAGTGCATGTGTTTGTTGAGTGGAGGAACACTCAACACTCTCCAGAGATAGAACGTACGTTTGCTTTGCAACAGGATCAGTTTCTCAAAGCAACACAAAAACAGTTTTATTATTTCTAAATTATGCCCACGCACTTTGGAAAGTACTAGGGTATGACTGCAGAATTCTGAGCCACAAGGAAGAGGTATATTCATTCTGAAATAAATCTAAGTGCACGTATGACTCACTTTGACCCTACTCAACTCTGCATGATTCTTATAGAGTTGAGAATGTCTATTTTTTTTTAAATAGAATGAGATTCATTCTAAAGAAAGGTGGTCCTACCAAGAAACAGCTGAGATTGTGCTTAGGTCAACCACAGAGTGATTTATGTCCACACTGTGGAAAATCATCCTCCATCAAATTAGCAATCATACTTGATATGATACTAAATATTTGGAATCCATTCACCATCTGGTAGGTATTACACAGTCCAGTATTGGATTTGAAATCTTAAGCACACATATATGAAGTTTTATCTGCATCTGATATGCTGATAAATGTAACTTTTAGCTGGGGTTGGGATCTATTTTGACTATTCTTACTTTGATTCATTTGGACCTTTTGCTTGTACCACTTATATTCTTCTCTTTAAAGAATGCACATGGATAATATAACTAATGCTTTTCATGCATCTCTTTTGCTTCTGCAGGAGGGATTTTTGAAACTGTGGAAAATGAACCCGTTAACGTTGAAGAATTAGCGTTCAAGTTTGCGGTCACCAGCATTAACAGAAATAGAACCCTGATGCCTAACACCACATTAACCTACGATATCCAGAAAATTAACCTTTTTGATAGTTTCGAAGCCTCACGGAGAGGTAACTATTTTTACACTTTTAAAAGCTTCTTTGGGTGATGTTTCTGCTTCACAAGCACCTTCTCTTTGCTACCTGCCCTTTTGCAAAGTGGACATCTCTGTGCAAAGGAGTTGCAGGTGATCTCAGCCCAGCACCATCTGAACCCTCCTAATGGATGTTGCCTAGTTCTGTTTCCTGGGCCTTTCTGATTAGCTTACCCTTCAGTGCCCTCCACTCTATGATTAACTGGTTCAGCTGTGAATGGAAAATGTCAAGCTTGATCTGTTTTTCCTTCCTGAGGCTGAGATACCACCATGAAATTGTACAGTGCAGTCAAATAAAACTTTGTAGAAGGTCATACCTACTGAGCATGTCGAAATGCCCACAACACACAGAATTCACAACCTGAATTCTAAGAGGCTGTGAGCCACTGGGTTTACCTAGCATCCTCTCAAATATTACCTTATTCCCTTTCCACAAGATCAGAGAAATGTGAAGATTATAAATATTGAGTCATTATGTTTTACACCTGAAACTAATATTTTATGTCAATTATACCTCAATTTTTAAAAAGGAAAAAATAGAAAAACAATAATGGAACTGTGTAATAAATAAATAAAGCAGGGAAATTTATGGGATCAAAGAAAATCTTTTGTGTCTGAACAGAAGACAGTTTCCTAGAAAATAATCTAATTTGCATGTAGGATGCAAGGTTTGTCTCATGGAAAGAGTCTTTGATGTGGGACATATTTACAAATCCTCCAAACACTTCCAAGATGACCCTTTCAAGCCACATTTGACATACTTGAAGATAGACTCTTAACTAGAGAGTTGTTGGGTTTCCCTACAGGTGTTCGTCTGGGAATATCAACCCAGAATATGAGGGGCTCTTTCTCTTTTAGAGGAAAGTTTTGCCCATCAAAAACACACAAGTGGGGACTTCCCTGGTGGTACAGTGGTGAAGACTTTGCCTTCCAATGCAGGGGGTTCTGGTTTTATCCTTAGTTGGGGAACTTAGATTTCACAAGCCTCACAGTCAAAAAGACAAAACACAAAACAGAAGCAATACTGTAACAAATTCAATAAAGACTAAAAAGGGTTCACATTTAAAAAAAAAAAAACTTACAAACACACACAATTAAGTGGAATACAATGAATGCCATGTTCACACTAATTTCCAAGTAACTAAACACTGGTTGTTTCCACTTAGAGTTAACCTCATTAGGATAGGACTGTAGGATGTGTTCACTTAACACGCTCTTCTGCCAAATTCTTGTGTCCTTTCCAAAAAAAAACCAGTGAAATTTGTTTTCCTGGGAGTACAGATGAAGATCAAATCGTATAGTGGTTTTCTTTAAAAATCTATAGCATCATATTAGTGTAAGAATATTTCCCTTTTTAAAGATCAGTAAAGTTGCAGATACTATATAGGTCAGAGTTGTCTGTGAACAAATAATAAAACTTTATGTTTATACAGAACTTTAAAGTGTGTAAGGCATCTTCACATAAATTATCTCTATGAGTTAGATCTCTCTCTGTCCCTTCCTTTCTGTATCTCCCTCTCTCTGTCTCTCTTTGTCTCCTCTCTCTGTCTCTCTCAGACACACACACTCACATACACACTCATGCAAAACACTGTTGAATAAATATCCCCAGAAAGCCAACCACATTCAACAATAATATTTCAACCCACATAAAATCCAAAGCATTTTTGTGACCTGAAGTACCTGCCATATTTATAAATTAAACACCCCCAACGCTTCTTAAAACTGGTAATTTTCTGGCAAACAGAATTCAAAAAGATTGATTTTCTGTCAAGTAATATTAGAATCCCTGAGCTAAATATTAGCAGAAATCTCAATCCACTGCCGATGCTAGACAAAACAAGAATTCATATACTCTCATGCCTTCACTTTTTTTGCTAACCAGGGAAAGCAATCAAGAAAATTAGCATCTGAGGACAGTTTTCACCTATAGTATTAGAGAATTATGCCTTTATATCTCATGTGATAATTCAGTAATGAAGAGCACAGTGTCACAAAGTACCTTGTGAATGATTGCGTACACTTGCTGTCTCACAGATATGTGAAATATGGTTCTCAAAATTTTATGTATTAATTTTTCTCTCTAAATCAAGTCAGATAAGCTTGACAAGGCCATATATTATTTTCTGCTTATCTTTTACTTGTGAAATGGCATTATGATAAAAATCAACACAATTTCATTTATATATGTTGCTATTATTTAATTCATATATTTAACTATTGTTTCTCAGCAGTTCCAAATTCCTTTAAATGAGCATTAATATATACAGTTAAAATGTTTTTACACTTATGTGTGATGCCAGCATATATCTATGACATGGCTTCCCTGGTGGTTCCCACGGTAAAGTATCTGCCTGCAGTGCAGGCGGGCCAGGTTCCATCCCTGGTCAGGAAGATCCCTGGAGAAGGGAATGGCAACCCACTCCAGTGTTCTTGCCTGGAGAATCCCATGGACAGAGGAGCATGATGGGTTACAGTCCATGGGTTCGCAGAGAGTCAGGCACAACTGAATGACTAACACTTTTATTTTATGAGGTTATAGAAGTTAATCTGTCCTAACCTCTCTGGAAGGGAATTTGGTTTATATATATCAAGAAAGTTAAAAATATCAATAGCATTTAATTATAGCTGAAAATCTACTCTAAGAGAGTAATGTAAAAGTTAGAGAAAAATAAAAGAACTATGATAAGTGCTTATAATATTACTTATAATAACCAAAAATTAGGAGCAACTTAATTCCGTACCATATGTTCAGTCACTCAGTTGGCCATGTCTGACTCTTTGAAACCCCATGGACTATGGCCCACCAGGCTTCTCTGTCCATGGAACTTTCCAGTCAAGAATACAGGAGTGGGTAGCCATTCGCTTCTCCAGGGGATCTTCCCAACCCAGGGATCTAACCCAGGTCTCCCACATTGCAGGCAGATTGTTTAGCATCTGAGCCCCCAGGGAAGCTCCATTCTGCATCATCAGTCAGTTCAGTCGCTCAGTTGTGCCCGACTCTTTGTGACATAGGACTAGTTAAATAAGTAATGACACTCGGCATCATGGACTAGGCTATTCTACGCCACTAAAAATATTACTTTTGCAGAATTTATAATGACTTGAGGGTAAGAGTGTGTTTTTATTGTTAAATTTAGTGTTGAATACTGAGAGCAGTATATCAAACTGTATCTATATCATGTTCAATTTTTAGGTAAATTGGAATACCAAAATATTAGGTTGGCCAAAAAGTTCGTTTGGATTTTCCTACAAGCTCCTACAGAAAAACCCAAACAAACTTTTTAGCCAACTCAGTGTGAATTGATATTATTCAAAGTTTATGGAATTTCAGGGCCATTTTTACTTTCTCATAATTTTCAATATTCTAAATTATCTCAAAGAGTGTATATAATCTTATAATGCAAAATTAATGTTAAAATTAATTTTTATGTACATATCTAATTTATTTTGTTCAACTACATGTTGGCTAATGTTGATGTAGAAATAGGCCCGCCCTTGAGCTGGGTATCTGGACTCAGGTCAATTCTATCACTATCCAGAGACCCTGACTCACTGCATTGCCTATGATATTAGTGAAAAGGTGAAAAGTGAAAGTTGGTCAGTCGTGTCCAACTCTTTGTCACTCCCTGGACTATACTGTCCATGGAATTCTCCAGGCCAGAATACTGGAGTGTGTGGCCTATCCCTTCTCCATGGACTCTTCCCAACCCAGGAATCCAATCAGGTCTCCTGTGTTGCAGGCGGATTCTTTACCTGCTGAGCTACCAGGGAACCAACGCCCGGTAGTGGATTCATGACATTAGTGGGCTGGACCACATATCTTCTAAGACCCTTTTAAGCTATGCTATTCTTTTATTCTGCAATTAATTAATTATCAGTATCACTGAGCACTCTTTCGCAATTTCTCAATAGCCTGGACCTCTTTTCTGAATTTTGGGAAGGACTGGAACTAAAGTATTCTGCAGCCACCCAGAAAGGCTTCTGATTCAACGACCACGTTAGTTATCTTCACTGCCAAACTGTCACATGACAGAATTGAATTCATATGACATTCACTTGGCAAATGGCTTATAGTCACTCTGAGTGCTTCTGGGTGGCATCACACCAGGCAGGAGATTTAAACTCCATCTGATTAAAAGTAATGAAGTGAGACCAACAACTCATTTTCGTTTGCAAGGCATTGGCCCTGTGATGTGTTGCTAATCATTTCAACATTTGCATCTCTAGTATTTAATATCTCAGGGATGTTGGAAGTTGGATTAAGCATGTTTCCTCAACATACATATGGAGAGTGGAGGAAAGTTTCCAATAGTGAAAATAAGGAGGAACCATGAAAGGGGAGATGAAATTCACAGAACTCTCTCTTTCTTTCTCTCTCCCTCCCCTCTTCCCCTCTCCACTCTCTCCTTGTCTATGGACGTCAGCATGTGACCAGCTGGCTCTTGGTGTGGCTGCTCTCTTTGGTCCTTCCCATAGCTCCTCCGTCAGTGCTGTGCAGTCTATCTGCAACGCTCTCGAGGTTCCGCACATACAGACTCGCTGGAAACACCCCTCTGTCGACAACAGAGACCTGTTTTACATCAACCTCTACCCCGACTACGCGGCTATCAGCAGGGCGGTCTTGGATCTGGTCCTCTACTACAACTGGAAGACGGTGACCGTGGTGTATGAAGATAGCACAGGTATGGGTGGGACTCACACAAGCCCTCACCTGGCCGTGCGTGGTTGGCATAAAGGGAACCAGAGTATTCTCTAGGCATTGACTCATCAGGCAGAGTACATGAAGATGGTCTTTTATATGAAGCTAATTGAGTATTCTAGTTTGGAAGCACCATGTGTAGGGGGTTCCTATTCCTTTTGGTGAGTTGATCCTTTCTGATGACCCTTTCATCATCAAACTTTAAAAAAGAAAGAAATATCACCTTATTGATATATGTTGTGATACAATCTGAATAGTAAAAGTGCAATTTAATGAATCCAGCTCCATTACAAATATGACTACAACTCCACTGTTAATTAAAACAGGGAAAGTTTGGAAACTACCATTTTGAAGTATGATTCCAATTCAATAAGTAGCTATGTAAATGTCTTGAAAAGTTTCTAAGGTAGGTAAAGCAACTGTACTCCAATAAAAATTAATAAAAAATAAAGTACATCAACAGAAGAATCCAGTTAGAGGTTGTACCGATAGATCTGATCATTTTGTGGGGGAAGGACTAGGAACCCCAGTAATAAGCCCTTAATGAAACTTGCTTTGTTCCACCTGCTGACTTTAAGGTGAAGGACAGACACATGCTGAGCGCCTCACTAGACATTTCTCTGACCTTACCCAATTGGAAGTTTCTTTTATTGGTACCTTCCCCCCTTGCCTTCTGTCTACATTTTGAGGTTTGTTGGAGTTAAAGACCCCTTTCGTGTGGTTTAAATTCTGCCAGTAACTCTTCCCACATAGGAAAGTCCAAGTACTTCTAATTTAAAGCTCTTCACCATCTAACCATTTTCATCTTCACTAACCCAAGTACTAACTGAGCTACATCCCCAGTTCTCTCACATCATTTCTTAAATACCCCGAAGTCCATCCCAAATCTTTCTTTCTGAGGTTGGCCCCTCACTTTGGAAGGTCCTCCACATAACCTCCAAGGTGGTAAGTTCCCCCACTCTCCATGATCGCACTCAACTCCCCTTTCTTTCTAAAGCTCTCTGAGACACTGGGAGTTAACAGCACATTATAAATATAAGCATTATATTACACGCTCCCATGATCTGTTTACATGTTTATGAGACTAGGAGTTCCAAAAACTTGGAATTTTATCTTATTTATTTTTAAAATCTGCTATCTAGCGCAGTCCTGGCATATAAGGAAGTGCTTAGTAATTATGTGTGGAAAGAATAATATTATTTTCTTTCTGAACTTTTTTTTCAAGAATTGAAATTATCTCCTTTCCTTAATCTATACATTTGGTAGTAAGGCTAATAAAATTATCAGCAAAAATTAACCAAACCAAACATTTCCAAACTTTTTAATAGTACCTCACTCTTCTACTCTTTCTCACCAGATACTAGCATTTATGGATACTATTCCTCAGAAGAATAACAAGGAGCCTCCTCTATTTGGCGCTAAACTCTGTTCCCATTTTCAACTGTCAGATAAAAGTGACTTTTGTGGTTGGAAATATGCATTTATGTATTTTCTTATACCTCATCTCATTTTAGAAAGAAGTGAACTAGGTGACTGTATATATAATTTATAAATACCAAATTCGAAACAGTCCTACTAGGAAGGATAAGTCACAGGCAGTGGCATTGGCTTCTTAGAGGGTCACCTGCTTGCTGTGAAGGAAGAAAATATATTATCAAATGAACTCCATACATATACTTAAAAAGCCTCATGATATATATACTGTATATAGGTATAGTAAGGCCTTTCATGTTGTCTACCTTTGTACATAGAGAATTCCATGAGTTAATAAAAAAATGCTATTTCCCATTATGTAGTACACTTTTTGCATAATTCTCTCTCATTATTTATACCATTTCCAGTGAAACAAAACCATCTAAAAGGAAAACAAATCAATGAATAATATTAAGGCATCTGGATTTAATTTAAGAAAGTTTAACTAAAGGTGTGGGCATAACTTGCAGACTGCAAATTATATTGAGAAAAATTATAATTTGCAAAAGGATAATATAAAAGTTAATATCCTAACCACCCTTTAGATTTCAAAACTGACAGTCATTTTGCATAGAGGGAATTTGAACTATCATTTCTCTTACCTTTAAAAAGAAACTGAAATCTCCTCTTCATTCCTATTGAGTTCACCTGAGCACAGTTGCTCATTAAATGCTTATTAAAATTGAAAAATCCAAAATGAGTTTGTATTTGCCCATTAAGTTAGAGATGATTCATTGTAAAATGATTTTGCTCACAAAGACATTAAAAATGTAAATGAATAATCAATTGAGCCATTAAATTGGAACCCAGAGAGTAAACAGGTCAACTGAGATCAATAAGAGCAGACATCTTTTGACTCTGAGTGGGTTTAATACTGCTTGACTCAGGGATTTGGTTGCAGTAATTATCAAGCCATAAAAAGGAGAAAACTTACTAAACCTGAAGGAAAAGAAAGGACTTAGGTGTGCTCAGCACCCGCCTTTACACCAGAATTAAGAACCCATTAAACAGAGCACTTCATTGGGATTGGTTTAGGAGTTTGTTAAATAGCCTGAAGCCAGCACAGATGTCTTTGGGACTAAATGGTCCATGACTCCCATTGAAGTCAACAGGAACACTGTGTGTGTCTCTGAGGACAAAGTCCAAATCACTGTCTGCTAGTAGGCAGAATTCTGTCCTCTAGAAGAGCAAGTGTAGAAAGACCCCAGAGAATAGTTACAGGGAGTGAAGTTTTGCCTCACTTCCTCTCTCCCTCTCTGTTGCTGGGATGTTCTTCCCATCAGTCACCTACTTCTCTCTGACTGCCACACTTACCCTAGGCAATGGGGGAAACTGCTGCTCATGGGTCATCCCCTCTGTTTCATTAGACTCCTGGTGGAAGCCTGGCTTCCATCCCTCCACACGCATCAAAAAGAGCTGAGAAGCTAAGCACCAAATGCAGTGTGGAGAATATTCAGCAGTTTCTGCTTTCTCAAGGCCAATGTTAGTGAAATGTAACCACTTTCAGTTCTGTAGAACAAGGTCCTGCAAACTTTTTTCTCAAAGGGGCTAGATATTAATACCCTATAGTTCAGGTTTTATGAGCCCTAGTGCCTTGGTCACAACTATTCTGCTGAAGTAGCAAGAAAACAGTCGCAGACAGTATGGAAATGGACAAGTATAGTGTGTTCTAATAAATCTTTTGGGTTCCCTAATAGCTCAGTTGGTAAAGAATCCGCCTGCAATGCAGGAGACCTGGGTTCAATCCCTGCGTTGGGAAAATCCCCTGGAGAAGCGAAAGGCTACCCACTCCAGTATTCTGGCCTGGAGAATTCCATAGACTGTGAAGTCCATGGGTCCCAAAGAGTTAGACACAACTGAGCAACTTGCACTGCACTAATAAACCTTTATTTACAACAAAATAAGGAAGGCAGTGTGGTTGGATTACAGTGAGAGGGAAGATGTGACTGTGTCACACTTGTGGGCCTTAAAGATCATGGAGGGCTTTGTAGATTATTGGAACAAGCTTCGGTTCCTCATGAAATGGGCAGCCATTGCAGTTTTCAGGAGAGGAGTGACATGATCAAATTTATATCATAAAAAGATCATGCTGGCCTTTGTATTAATAAAATGACATAGAGAGGCAAGCATAAAATCAGTGGCTCCTACAGAAATCAAGGCAAGAGATGAAAATGATAGCAATAGAGGAGTGAGGAATGGTCAGATACTAGAAGTATTTGATGTTGAGCTAGCATAATGCTCTGAGGGAGTGTAGGCTGGATGAAAGAAATTGAGGAGTCAAAGATAACTAAGCTTTTCGGCCTGAGCCAAAGGATGGAGTTATCCTTTTCCTGAGATGTGAAAAGGTATACATGGACATAGTTTGGAGAAATAAGGATATCAGGGCTTCAGTCATAAATATGTTCTTTGATTTTGCAATGTCTAGTAGATCTCCTCATGTAGTTGAGGAGTAGGCAGTTAATATATGAATCTGGAGTTCAGGAATGTAGTGCACACTGGGATACAAACTCAAGGGTCCTCAGGATATTAACGAAACTAGATGAGGCCATCAGGTAAGTCAGTTCCATCCAGATATGTTCATAAAACATAATACTTAAGATTTTTCTTTTAATCCATGGTTGCCTTAAGTCATTTTTTTCAACACATCAGAGTATGAAATTTATAAAATGCAGCCTACAATAAAGAAGTACTATCTGTCACTTACTTAAAACATAGTCTCAAAGTTTTACAATGAGGATTCATTTGAAATAATCTAACATATATAAAAATGTCAGTGATTGAAAGAAACACTAAATCCAGATAGAAAACCCAAGAAAAATGACGACCACAAAAAATACAATAACTAAAGTCTCGAAGTGCTGACTGATTGCCATGCACTATTCTAATTATTGAATGTAGTTAACTCATTTAATATGCTCAACCACCCTGTAAGTAAGTGCAATAGCTACTCTTTGGCTATATATAAACAGTGACTTGGGTTTATTATGCCTATGATATTTTCCTTCATTTCCCCAAAGAAAATAGAAATATACTGTATAGAAGCAAGAACCTTGACAAAGGTCTAAAATTTGGACTTGAAGAAAATTAAACATTTTGACATAGGTGGTCAAGCCAAAAAATGAGCAATCAGTACCAAGTAAAGGAATAAGTGAATTTTTCACCTTAGCCATCATAATTTACATCTCTGTGTTGTTATGATCACCTGTGCTAGCCAAAACACTCTGCTACATACCCTCCTACAATCCTACCTGAAGTAGTTGGAGAATGGAAAATCCTGGGCACTCAGTACCAACAAAATAATATATTACAGTTCTTTTCCTCCTACCCTTATTCTTTCTACCCTTTCTGTTTACCCACTCTAATCCTCTAACCAGAACCCATTCAAATTTTCAGATTTCTGCTCAGGAAACCAATCCTTAGATATTTCATGATGACATTATTTTTAGCTACCATTGATATTAACCAGAATTAAGGACCAAAACATACTGGTGGAGCTAACCTGCACATAGT